TCCTATTTAACTTCAAATAAATCAAAATACTCCTCTGTTGACATCTCATATGAAGTCTTCCAAATAAATAAGTGTTAATACACAATATCAATAGCAATCCAACATCTCGGTCCACCAATACCTTTGCAACAATAATCCGAATGTGCATTCTTAAACACTTCGCAAGTCGTCAATAACAAATCAAAAGGGTGGGGATTTATTCCATTAGTTCCACAAGAAAAGTCATTTATCCTCAGAAGTCAGAGACAACTCACATAGGCATATAATTAATTTTTACTTATCATATTCGAAGGTACATCTTAATAATTCATAACAAAAGTATTGAGTCAAATTCATAGGATAACACTTCCAAATAATATGGATCCTCCGGATAACGATGAGACACATAACACATAACATTAGCCCCAATGATCAACCCCAATGATCAACTCATTTATAACCAAATCGGTCGAAATAAAAGAACGGGTCTTGAATCAATCATCATACAAACGTTTGTTCACACATAATAAAAATGTTCAATAGCTATCTTGGAAAATCAAAGTATTCTCATCCCAATTGTTTTGGCAACCTCAAATTAAGTTTCAAATGCTCAAGTAGACGAGTTATAATTTTACCAATAATCGATTACACAACCATAAGGAATTCAATTCTAGTTCAAGTCTCCTCACACTTTACGAAACATATTCTTGTTGATCTCTCCCAACGCACTCCTAAGTTAGCAGTGATAACACTGAAACAATTAATCACATGACGTGCGTAATTCTCACAACCCCATAGTACCAATTACAATTCAAATACTCCTAAATAGTTAAGGTTTTTCTCAAGTAGTGTTCATAAACACATAATTTACGAGTAACAATTCTTATAGCATCAAGTTAAAACACGGTAACACAGAAGTAGCAATTTGGTAAATCAATCAGTTGCTATGAGATGGGAGGTAAACTCCAATGCACAATAAAAATCAGTGAAGAACACGTTAAACTATTCCCCACAACAATTAAATGGTATTAATGAAAAATAATAAATTAAAAAATTGTTGAAAAGTCAAATTTAAGAAAGGTATAAAGTATTAAATTCAGTGGATATTTTTCAGGATTTTTTTAAAGTATTTGATATTAAGATTTTATAAGATAAAGTGCATACAATATTTTCATAATAATTGAGACCCCTCAATATTTTCACAGAGAAAATTTAGCTAAGAGATATTTTACTCGACTTAGAGAAATTTTGTTATAGCTCGGAGAAATTTCAATTTTAATAGAAAAATTTCTCTAATTTCACAGAGAAATTTCAAAATTGCTATGTGAAAATTGAAATTTCTCTGAGTTGGGCAAAATTTTTCTGTGAAAATGTTGAGGGACCTTAGCTAATTAAAAAAAAATATCTTGGACCTCTCCTACTATACAAAATTAGAGAGGGATGTTTCACTAATTTTTCTATTTTTTATTAGTAAGAGGTTCACCTTTGTGAAAATAGTTTGGTAAGAAGTTCTCTTTTTGGTTATTTGTTTAAATTTATACCTATCTATTCAATTTTTTTGGCTATTTGTTCAAATTCATATATATCTATTGAATTTTTTTCTTTATCTGTTAATTTTTTTTCCCCAATTTCCTATCTATTAAATTTTTTTCCCTTATCTGCTAAGGTTTAGGGACCCTAAATCAGAAACACGTATTGAACTACGTATCAATTGGAACTTTAACTTTATAAAAATGAAAATATAAACCAGTCAAAATGATGAATCAATGAAGCATTATATCTGGGTCGACATTGAGAACTCTACACAAATATATATATTTATATATACATTGTATATATAGATCTGCTAGTGTACAAATCTACCCTACCTTCATTTCCTCAGACTTGTTGATGTATAGATCTCTATTCGCCAGAAACTTCTCTGCGACAGTGCTGGATGTGGCGGCGGTAGAGAAAGCGAAACAAAGGTTGGCGATGTAGCGAGAGTGAAGGGTGAAAGGAGAGGAGGAGTAGGCCATATACCTGCTGGAAGACATGATCAGATCACGGCCAGATTGACCACCAACGACCGAGCTTTCTCTCTTGTGGAGAAGGATGGCGAATATAGCGCGGGCCTCTAGGTGGAGGGAAGAAGTGAGCGAGATTGGGAAAGAAGGAATCGGTTAGGGTTTCTTCGCTCATTTCTCTCTCTTTCTCTTGGTTTCAAGAACGGGCAGAGAGAGAGAGAGAGAGAGAGAGAAAGGTGATTTAGAGAAAGAAAGAGAGTGATTTTGATTATATATGGGTAATTTGGTCTTTTTTCAAGAGTATAATAATTTATGAGGGCTGCCATTAGTAAATTCCTTTATTCTTTGGAACCCCCACTTCTTTGAACCCCAACCCAACTAAATGAGACCCCTTCTTTTTCTCTTTTAACCCCCACCTTAATTCCAATTATACCCTCTTTCTAACTCACTTTCCTAACCCAACCATTGCAAACTCCGGCCACAACCTCCAGCACAGGCGCCACTCTCCGATCAACCCCAATCCAAAGCCACTCTTTGGTCAACTCCACCGCGACCTTTAAAATCAACCACCCACAACAGCTTCAGACAGCCTCAATCTAGAGCCACTGCCGCGAGCCACCGTCTCAAGCCCCTTTCTCTCTCTCTCGCTACCATCGCCTAGCCACCATTGTCGGTCGGTACTCATCCTAACTCAAATCACGACAGCGACGAAAGCGACAAGGGTTTGAGGCCACAGATCGCGATGGCAGCTAGGGTTTGAGGTCACGGATCATGATGGCGGCTAAGGTTGAGATCTTAGATTGCGACGGCGATGGAGGTAGCTAGCGTTTGAGGTCTTAGATCGCGACGACGGCAGTGGGAAAGGAAATTAGGGTTACGGTTAAGGCATTGGTGCTGCTGGCAGTGGGTGGAGGTGGTCGATGGGGTTGAGACAGGTTAGGGTTAGGGTTTGACAAGATTACAGATGAGGATAAAAATAGAATTTCATATTTGGACAAAATTCAAATTTAAAAAAAAAATAAAAGAGGTAGGGGTTCTAAGAAAAAAGGCAGGGGTAAATAGTTGCTCTCTAATTTATAGCGTGAACTTTTAAACTAAAGAAATTTAAAATTAGACTTTTTGACCAAAAGATAAAAAAACAAATTATAACAATAATAATAATAATAATAGAAAAGGAAAAAAAGTGATAATACATATGGAGTTCCAAAAAGGTGAAAATGTGCAGAGAACTACCTGTATTTATTTATTTTTATTTTTATTTTTTAGTTCAATTAGCAGGTAGCACACGTAATGCGTATGCAAGGTAAATACATAAAATTGAAATAAAATATTTGGCATATATTAGTTGTAATCTTAAGTGATAAGAGTCTTTCTTATCAAATTTGTGGTCTTGAGTTCAAATAATCAGATTAAAATGATATATTTGCTCCTTAATTTTTGTACATAAAATAATACTGATATTTTGTTCATGTCATTTGAAGAGAAATAACAATTATCTTTTTTGATTTAACTCACACAAAAAATTAAGTTTTATTTTTTATTTTTTATTTTTCATATTTTGTTTTATTTTTATTGAATTTTTTTAATATTTTAAGTAATTTTTTATTTTTTATTTTTTAGATACACCTAATCTAGATATGCTTAAGAAATATAATATTTTGTGATTTTTTTTTTTAAATTCACCAAATACAAAAACAATTATAAAAATACAAAAATTCAGTAAAAGTGTAATAAATGTGAATGACGGTGTTTGATAATACTATAATAAATGTGGATGAATAGACGAGAAAGAAAATTGATGGTGGAAATAAAAATGAAAAATTCTATTCATATATAAAAATTTATACAAAAAAAAAATATCATAAAAATGTTGTAATCGTGGTGTTGTAAATATAAATCATGCTTATGTTGTATTTTGTTTTAAAGTGAAAGGTCACTATTAAGTTATATTATTATGTTTAAAAATTTTATATAAAATTTATGTTTGCATATTATCACTCAATAAGAATATGTTTAGTTAGAATTTAATGATAGAAAGTTGTAGAATGTAGTCATGATAATAAGAAGAACAAATGGTAGGAAAATGACAACATGGTTATTTAAAAAATTTTAAGGTATGACATTAGTAATTCAGGAGGCAATTTGTAATAAGTTTGCAAACCTCAAGGAAAAGAATGTAATTTTTTAAATGTAAAAGGGAATTTATATTAAATAGAAGCCTTAAGGGATGCCAGTGTAATTTACCCCTTATATATATATATATATAATCAGACACTAGACATAAAGAAAAAAAAAGTTTTAAGTAACAAATCTCAATGCTCACATGTATAATTTTTTAGTTTAATAAATTTTATTATTTATTTATTTATTTATTATTATTATTTTTTTGTGTGTTGATGTTTGGTTGTTTCTAGTGAAGGAATAAGTCCCTTGAAGTTGGACCCCTTGGCCACATGGGCAACCACTTTATTTTTTACCTATTCATTTTTTTTTTAAGGTAAATTACAAATATAGTTATGAGATTTACTTAAAATACTGATTATCTGTTGTGGTTTTGAAAATTATATTTCACTTTTCAAGTTTTTCACTGTACAACAAATTGCTCTTTTTATTCATAAATTATCAACTCAATCAATAGTTTTTAATGATATCATAAATATATTTTAATTAACAATTTATGTAATTTTATTATTGTATGGAAGAGTAGTTATAATTTTTATTTTTCTGTTAATTCTGTTAAATAAAAAATACTAACAAAGGGATATTTATAATTTCCAAACCATATGGAGCGATCCATATTTTAAACAAATCTCAAAGGTGTTTTTGAAATTTTCCTTTTTTTTTTAATTTTTTTTTTAATTTTTAAATTACATACGATTATGTGAGTCATGATAAATATGTTCAATTTGACTGTGTTGTTGGAGAAACATAGAGCACCATTTGACACTAAAAATGAAAGAAACATTACAAAAATGTTAAAAAACAACATTTCAAATGTGACATGAATAGAACACATGATACAAATAAATATATTTTAAGACAACATCCTTAATATGAATCACACCAAGCATTCTACCACTCCCATGACGGCAGGACATATAACCATCTTGTTTGATGATAATAACTAGAGTATATAATAAATTAAAGGACTAGAATGATTCTAAAAGTTTTTTTTTTTTTCAAACTGAATTGCAACAAACTTATTCCCATTGAATGAAACAGAAAATCTTTCACAATGTAGACTTGGCTAGAACCAAATAGCATTCGATGTTTTTTCGACCACTTGACAAATGCATTAGCTCCAAATTAGCAAGGATTCAAGTAAGGAGGGGGATCCTGCATACTTGCTTCAGTAGTGGTGCCATTCTTGACAATTAGCACTGTATCCATTCCCCAACTAGAATGTCTTTCTAAATGACAGTGCATGAACCACACCCCTGTAATACAATCAAAAATTTTATTAGTAATTTTGTTTTGCACTCGTGAAATTTAATAATCCGAAGTTGAGTAGAGTTCCATCTTTAGAAGCAATCTAAAATTAGATCAACTCAAATATTATGACTATCAGCACTAAAGAAGTAGACATAAAAGCTAAGAACACTCATGACACAAACATACCTGGATTATCAGCTCTAAATCTGATGGCAGCCCATCCATTTGTAGGGACCCCAACAGTGTTTACCTCTGGTGGATCAACCAGATTGTACCCTGTAGGGTCAGTTTCATTGTTAAAGTTTCCAAAACCAAAACCAACAAAATAAAAGCTGTAACCATGCAAATGCATTGGATGATTTTCTGCTGCTTTCATCACATTAGTAGTTTGGAACACTATCTCCACAGTCGAATTGAACTCCAAAACCTTAACCTTAGTCACATTTTTTGGTGTCAAATAATCATCCGATACATCATCAGCTGTAAAATTGAAAAAATAAGGTGGTTGACTCGGAAAATCTGTCGTGTAAAACCCTTTAAGTTGGCTGTAGTATGCTTGTAATACATCAACCTCTGGGGTCACAAAACTCATGTTGTTCAAACTTGCTGCTAGCCTATCACCATTGGGTCCATCACAAGAACTGTTGACACAAGGAAGTGTGTTCACTGAAAGAGTTATATAGAGTTTTGTATCAACTGTTTGTGGGACATCAACTGGGTGGTCCTTGCTGTTTAAGGCCTTCATTTGACGGGTAAAATTCGTTACAGCATCAATATCAGTATAATTAGGAAGGATAGGAAATGCAGGTGTTGATGGTGCTGTATAGTTTCCACTATATTGAACTATTGCAGTTGTGGTGGTATTATCATACTGAAGTCCCGCATATGCTCTCGCAGCCATATAATATTCGCTTGGGCTCTGATTTGCAGTGATCAAAACATCCATGGTTTGTCCAGGGGTTATCATGATATAGTCGGTATATATAGGTTTGATGTAGGCACCATCCATTCCAACAACTGTGAGATTGTGTTCGGCTACCTTAAAGAACATTTCTTCGTTCATAATTGCATTGATGATACGAAGAAGATAAGTCTTTCCATAATCAACCATTATTTTGAATGTCCCTGCAATATATAGACCGTATTAGTCAAACGTTATACAAATAACACATCAAATTTTAGACAATGACAACAACCTAATTGGAATTATATCATTGTGCATATATATAAATATACCGGGTTTGGAACAATTGTAGAGATCTCCTGGTTGCCCATTGATGGTGAAAGCATCCGACTGGTTGGGTTCGCCTCCACTTTCAAGGGCAGATTGAATTAACTCCATCACATCTCCCTTAAACCATGATGCTAAAATAGAAAAAGTAGAGTGGTATATAATTTATTGTTTAAACATGCATAATAAAATATGATCAATCATTATCTGATTATAATTATGTCACCGTACACCATAAACTTCATGATACATACCCAAAACAATGGGAAACTCTTCAGAGGGCTTAGAATATGGGTAAGTGGTTCCATTTGCAGGGTAGACAATGATGGGACCATGAACTGTGGCTCGAGACCAGTCACTATGGGCATGCCACCAAAGGGTACCTTCTTCAGTTGAGAATATGATCTCATAGCTGAAATTTGCTCCTGGTTTGATGGGGCATTGTGTGATATACTCTGGACCATCTGACCATGGATTTCTTGGTTGCTTCACTCCATGCCTATCACACACAACATGATATTTTCAAAACACAAATTTCATTTTCCTTTTATTAATATTGCAATCATCAAAGCAGGGGCTAGTTTGGTGAATGTATTTTGAAGTAAATTTTTCATGTTTTACATTTTCTGTTGTAAAATCATTGCTGAAAAATATAATGTATTTGGTACATATTAAAAAATTTACTTTAAGTTATTGTTAGTATAAAAGATTCAGTAAAAACTAAAATATAAAGAAAAAATGTGTATTTTTTTTAGCACTTATCAAACAGGGCACTAAGGATCCTCTAGAGTGAAATTTCCCTAAAGTTTCCTAGAGTGCTACATTGTGTGGTTGAGATTTACTGGCAAGTCACATCAGAAAAATTGATGTGACTTGCCAGTAAATCTCAACCATACAATGTAGCACTCTAGGAAACTTTAGAGAAAAATCACTCTAGAGGATCCTTGCTCCAAACAGGGTACGTCTATGAAAAGAGTTATTATTTTCTATTATCAACTAAAATAAGCTTTAAACGAAATAGCTAATTTTATTTATTTTATTTTTTTAAAACTTGAATAGCCAAAATTAATAATTTGTTGAGTAAATTACAAATATATCCCTAAGGTTTGTTTAAAATACAAATCATCCTTTGCGGTTCTGAAAATTAAATTTCACCCCATGAGATTTCGAATTTTGTAACAAATGATCATTTTTATTAATAAATCATCAACTCAATTAACATTTTTTAATAATATTATAAATATATTTTAATTAATAATTCATGTAATTTTATTATTGTGTAGAAGGACAATTATGAATTTAATTTTTTCAGTTAATTCTGTTAAATAAAAAATTATGATAAGAAAATATTTGTAATTTTTTTAAATCAAAGGATACAATTCATATTTTAATTAAATTTTAGAAGGCGTATTTGTAATTTATCTTAATTTGTTTATTGAAACCAAACAGAGCATTCGAATGTAGTATGGTGTATGGACTACGTACACCTATCTATGTGTGGGTGTCTATGAGAGAGAGAGAGAGGAAAAAAAAAAAAAACTATACCAATGAATGGTGACATTGTAAGCCCCTTGATTTTGAATATTCACAATCAACCTATCACCCTTGTGAACATGCAAAGTAGGCCCTGGAAATAGTCCATTGACTGTCAATATCTTCTTGGAGCTACATAACCTCGTATAATTAGTTTCTTCCAGCTACAAAAAATAAATAAGTAAAATTATGCATGTTAAATAAGATCTGCCTCTGAAAAAAAATAATAAAATAAAAATATCCTTGTATATCCTTCTTTTGACGACCCTCATAGGTAGAAGATTACAAAATCAAGACAACCAAATTATAATGGAATGTTGAGTAACATTTACAGTATATTTCTACTTTTCACGAAAAGTATAAAATGTATCATTTTAAAAACAAGTGTGGAAATTGACAGAAAGAACCAGCACCACGGGAAAGGTGTGACTAAAGTTGTGACAAATCACGATTTACTATGTTTAATTTTGTGCAAAAATAGAAAGAAAAAAAAAATTTAGTGTGTCAATTAAATTCATATGATTCATTCATTAAGAAATTGACAAGTGTTACGATTCGTAAAGTTTGTGCTATCTACTTGTTCAACCTTACAAAGTCAATCTTTATTTATTAACAAGTAAACTTTCTAAATCTATCATCTGCCGATTTCACAATCAACTATTCAATGTCAGTTTAATTGGAATAGGACACGGGACAAATCTCAAGTGTGAGTACTAACTCCATAATTCATACACTATTTAAGTCAAATAGTGTAGCTCACATCTAAATCCTGGATACGTTTTGTTCAGCATTTAGAGGGCCATCCTAAAACCACTGCACCAAATCTCTGGGAATTAGCCCTGGAAAGCATAGAATTTGAAAACTCAAGATTTATATCCCTAAACCTTTCCAAAGTACCATAACCCCTTCGGTTCAAACTCTCACGTTATTCTTCTCAAATTTTAAATTTTATAATGGCAAAGAAAAAACCTACTAATTGAACAGAAATGTGATGATCATTATCTGTCAAGTCTATATGCTACAGATAGATTTGTACATGAGAAGGTATATATATATACATATATTAGATTTTCAAAAATCATCTTAAAAAAAGAGTAAAGAGTGGGTGGATGGGATCGCGGTCGCCGAAAAGTAATAGCTGGGGGTGGACTTAGCTTCCAGTCACCACCAATCACGACTCGCCTTATCAAAGCACTCGAGAAAATGTGCACTGTGATTGGGGACAAGAGCGTAATATAATTGGTTATCATAAATCTCTTAAGATATATTCGGTTTGGGGATTTGAGGAGGGATTTAAAAAATGAAATAGAAAAAGTAGGTGAAATATGAATAAAATATATCTACATTTCACTTAGTTTCACACACTTTTTTCCTTTGTCTTTCCAAATCGCTCCCCAAATCTTCCAACCAAACACAGCATTAAGGTGTTAATCTTAAGAAGAAATTATGAGTTCAACTCTTTTTTAGAGGAAATTAAATTAAGAGACAATTAATTGATACTTTGCAAGGATAAGAAGGCTAATTTCTATTGATACTAATATAACAATTAACAAATATAACATGGTTTTAAAATATTTATTGGTATCTATCGAATAGCATCAGCCCATATATCCGTAAATAACGATATTAAAAGATCAAAATCTCATTACATAACGACTAATATTAAAAAAGCTGATAGGTAGAGAAAATGGTGAAATACTCACAACCCAGTTGACAGTACGGAGGCTCTGAGCCATCGAAAGAACAAAGAAATTCAAAAGTAAAAACCCTAAAATCTCCAACTTGAAACTCATCTTCTTCAACTCTATGTTTTCTTTATTACTACAGAATGCAGATCAGAATGAGACACAGAGACTTGTTTCTGGTTTAGAGTGCTCTTAATCAATCTTCCAATGGCCCTTTATATAAGCCTTGGTATTCGGTGCACTAAGAGACAGACTTGTTTTCCTCATTTTTTCCACGTTGATTGAATATTTTCACACATTCTGTCCAACACAAAGAAATATAAAATGATGAAGTGAGGGAGGAAGTTTCTTAATATACATTCCAAAAGCCACACACCCATTTCTTTGAATTTTCTCTAAGCAATAATCAAAGTAAATTTGGGCATTTTTTATTTATTTTTTATTTTTCATTTTTTCCACGTTGATTGAATATTTTCACACATACTGTCCAACACAAAGAAATATAAAATGACAAAGTGAGGGAGGAAGCTTCTTAAAATACATTCCAAAAGTTACACACCCATTTGTTTGAAGAAAAATATGTGAGATCCCTTTTTGAAAGATCCTTATAACTCTTACAGTGATTCAAACCACTCATGATGTGTGGAGACTATTCATCTATGTGTGAAGCTTACATCATGAATGGTGTGAATCACTTTGAGAGTTATGGAGATCGTCTAAAAAGGAGGTTTCTATTATTATTATTGTTTGAATTTTGGTCTAAGCAATAATCAAAGTAAATTTGGGCATTTTTTTTATTTTTTTTAAACGAACCGCGTCCTAGCCTAGGTAATGTTTTTTGGGTCCACCCAAAAGCATAAATTTAGGAAACAAGCCACACTCTAATTGCAAAATCTAGGCAAATAGAAGTGCTGACAAGAATTAAACCTAATTGGAAGGGCTGACAAGAATTAAACCTGAATTAGGCATGTGACTAGCAAACCCACTGCAAACTAGGCTATCCCAATAAATTTGAGTTTCTTTTGGCTTTGGCTTTAAGTTGCCTTTTTTTTTTTGGGAGTATAATTTTTAAAAATAGTTACTTACACGTAAAAAAGTTTATAATTTTAATAATTAAAATTTATAAACTTTACCACTATTTTGATTTTTTTTTTTCAATCCCTAGACTAATTTGTTATTTCTCCCTTTTTATATGTGTGTTTACGGTAAAAAAAAATTTCCCATTTAATTTATTACTAGGTTTGTCTAACTATACCGGCTAGAAAATTTAAAAACAAATTCGGAACAATTTTGAAACAATAATACAATAAAAGTCAGTTTTTATAAATAAAAAAAATTCTAAAATTAGCTGCCTCTTTTTCGTCAGTGAAATTTTAAAAATTTACAAAATTTATGATGGCCTAGTCTATACCGACCTAAAAATTAAAATTTAACCTAAAAAAAAAAAAAAAAAAAGTTAACAGAAGACCTTCACAAAAAAATAAATAAAGCTTCATTTGGCATTGACTACGGTAGCTAACTTTTTTTGTGTTAGAACTTTTTTAGCCTGACTTTTCTAGCTTCGTTTGGTTTTTGTTTTTGAATTTTTTTAACTTTTGTGAAAGAAAAAGTGTAATAATTATGGTTTGAATGTGACATTTTATCTTATTGATTTATATAACCTATTTTGTCTTTTTATATTTTTTTAACCCTCAAATATTTACCAAAGGAGGAGTAAATCAATTCTAGAAGGAACCAAATCTATACATTGACCCTGTTTGGTAGGATTTATTTCCAGCTTATTTCAGCTTTTAATTTAATTTAAGCTATTTTGATGTATTTAGTTCAGTTTAACAATACAGCTTATAGCTTTTTGTAAGTCAAAAATCAACTTATTCTTTGACTTGGAGAAGAGAAGCTTAATTTATAAGTTAAAAATCAGCTTATGTTCACAATTATAAGGTATAAACTGTTAAGTTATAAATTATAATCACTTTTCCACAACTTTACTAAACGGGGCTATTATTTCTAGGCCGAATTACTTTTTCGAAGCATTTGTGAGATGCATTTTTTGCCAATCAATGTCACGTGACCATTTGATCTGCATACTTCTTTTTCCTTATGATAATTTACTTTCAGTTATTTGACAGTAAACTATTTTTTCATAATTTTATTAAATTTGTTGACTTGAAAATGTGATAGGCATGTCATGCTTGCACTATTACCACCATGTTTATTTGTAGGATTATTTGAAATGATTTAAATAAGTACATCTTTCAACTTTTTATAAAAAAAAATATACAAAAAAGTAAAAAAAAAATAATATGACTAAAAAGATATAAAAATAATAAAAAATATGTTTATATAACACACTCCAAACAAATTCTAAATCTATAAGTATATGGATCCATTGCAGCTGGCAGCCCTCTGATCTTCAAACCCGTTACATCCAACTGGGAATTTTATTTTTTTTTTTGCAATAAATAGAAAAATAACTATGAATCTGGTAAGTATTATAGCAAATAATCTAAGCTCAATAACTACTAGCTACATCATTTTTTTTAATTTTTTTTTTTGAGTACATCAGAAAGAACAACTACTAGCTACATACAATCTCATAACATTCACTATAAAAAATTAAAATTTTAGAGATCAAAATTTAGGGATAAAATTATTTTTTTAAGGATTAAATATTTTTGTTACAAAAAGTATTGTTATTATATTTTTAACAACAGAAATTAGACATTAGTAATTAATTATTATTCTTTTGGGATCAAATTTTTTGTCTCAAAAATAAATTATTTTGAGACTAAATTATTTTATCGTTAAAAATCTATTTATTAGTGACATTTTCAAAATTTTGTCACTAAAAGTCTTATTTTGGACTTTTCGGGACGACCTTTTAGTGATTATCCACATGACGATAGAAATTGGTCCTTAAATATCTTTTGCAACAAAATTTTCACTTTTAAAAATCAAAACATTTTGTTTCTAAAACTCTTATTTATTATAGTGATCCAATGGTGGTGTTTGGTGTAGCTGTTAAAACAGATTATAGATTATAGCTTAACAGATTATAGATTATGACTTTAATCAGAAGCGGTTAATCTGTTTGGTATAGCTGTTGGATTATAGATTTAAGTTCCTTAAATATCTTTTGCAACAAAATTTTCACTTTTAAAAATCAAAACATTTTGTCTCTAAAACTCTTATTTATTATAGTGATCCAATCACTAGTGATTTTTTTTTTTTTTCTTTTTCAGTCAATAGATAAAAAAGAGTAACTGCAAATCTGATAAATATTACATCATATAGACCATTAACCTAATAATAATTAGAAAGTCAACCTTCACCAAGTAATCCAAGTCCAACAACCAGTAGCTATATACAACCCCATTTTTGTTTTTTAATCGGCAAAAGAACAACTTTATTAATTTGGAATTAAGGTGAAACCTTATATCAACCATCAATAAAAACTCAAACAAAAAAACAAGACATTTGGAAAATTTTATAAGCATCAAAACAGAGGCTAAGATCCTAACTAGGTTGGCACCAGAATCACAGCCAAGTCATATGCAGCATAATCCAGTCAAATCGTAATACAACCCTATAATAGGGAGAAATAAACACCACCATAAACAAAAGGTATCAAACTCATCTTATAAGAGTTGAACTGAAAACCTCACATAAAAAAGGGTCTACCCAACCAGTAGGCCAAAAGCCCTAGTTAATCATGGTGAGTTAAAGAGTCCAAATGTTGCCAAAGTAGTGTATTTGGTGCAACTTTTCTCATGCTAAAAAAAAAAGTTAATAAAAAAAACTAAATATATTTCTTCATAATTTTCAAATAATTATTATTATTATTTTTTGAGTTATTTACGTTATTTGTGTCTCAATAAAGTATGCATACCAATGTATAGTTTAAATTCATTTTAAATGTGAATTCCGGTTAACTTGGACAATGTGAAGTTGCAACCTTGTGTTATGCTGTCAAGCTCTCTTGAGGAAGGTTGCCGTGGTGGTTTTGTGCTATATGTTCTCTGTCAACATAGGAGTTTTTGTGTGTGCTTGGTTGTGTGTCCTCTGTTTTGGTTGTCATTTTATTGCGGTTGGTTACTTACAAACTTTTGATGTTGTGCTAGCAGATGATAGAGCGGACTTATCGGTGTCAACCTAGTTGGGATTGATTTGTTTCGTTTTAATGCTCTTTGCACTCATCGATTTCTTTATTGATGTAATTCTCTTTTGGTTCATCAATAAAATTTATCTTTTGCTGATAAAAAAAAAAAAAAGAAACTTGGACAATGTGAATTCAAATTAACTTGGACAATACAATATTAATTTGGCCAAATTAACTTGGACAATGTGAATTCAAATTTATCATATGATGAAAGAAGGCAAAGAAAGTTATTATTCAAATTATTCATTCGGATTTAATTCAAACCTGTTAGCGGTATAATCTGAAAGTTGTTATAGTAACCAGTTTGATATTATAATTGCGAAGGCCAAAAAAAACTTAAATAATAATTCAAAAAATGTATTGAAGAAAATATATTTATGAATATTTGGTTAATTGAAGCATAAATTCTACAAAGGACTTGTGGATAGCTCAAGTTGTTATACCTTTAGATTTTTAGGAGTAAATTTCTGATTTGAGCTTATGAAAAAGCGTGGATCGTCCAATTTTAATAACCTAAGATATGAGTTACATCCTACTTAGTGCAAATACATACATGCAATCTCCTAAATGTCTTAATTAACTTCTAAGACTTTGAGTTAAGTTACAATTTGTTCTATTTGTATAATGCCTATGAAACTAAAAGACAATAGTATGTGATAGTATTAATTACACTTAGAATCCTTGCACTTTTATTAAACTCCCACTTTAATCCTTTCTCATCTCTTGCATGATTTTTCATCTATAAAGGTTCTTTTTTGCTAATCAAAAACAAAAAATATATATATATTTAGCACCGCTGTACTTTTATCAGAATCTCACTTCAATCACTTCATTTTAGTTTCCCTTTCAATTTTTGAAATAATGTTATTTGACTAGACTCGATTATAACATGACTCAAAGTATGGAAGATTAATTGAAGCAATTAAAAGATCATGAAACAAAGTAAGATTTGATATAAAATAGGGAAGTACAAAGTGTAATTTGTCATGTATCACTACAACATATAAGAATTTTATAGATCAAATGTTTTAGTCTTTAAAAGTGAAAATTTTGTTACAAAAGACATTTAGGGACTAATTTCTATCACCACCAGGATAGTCGCTAAAAAGTCATCCCGAAAAGTCAAAAACAAGTCTTTTAGCGACAAAAT